CCATGCAGTCAAAAGCTGTTCAAATGGGATTCATCAATACAATACTATACAATACAATACTATTTCATGAACCCTGTTTGTCCTTGTTTAAGGGTCAAGGTGACGCCACGTGCCCTCTCACAGCCTGGAAAAATAAGCGGTCTTTGACCTGAGAGGCAAGTGACACTGCAGTTAGGCGGGTGCCATAAAGTGGTAATCTGTGCTGTGCCTCATCTCCATGGTAACATGTGTGCCAGAGTCTACTGTGGATGGTAGGGTGCGCCTTTCACGGCATCGCTACACCCCTCTGACTCACCCACACACAAAACACACACGGCTGTCATTATTACAAAACCTGATTGCAAAACATCATTAGCAGAATGCCAGACCTCGCTGCTGCCAAACTGGCTGTCACGTTGATCCCAAACCTCGTAGACAGGTCCGCAAAAAGGACAGCCAGTCAGCAAGGGAAACACCGACAGCTCTATTTCGCTCCACTTTTCATTTATTCTGTGTCTCCGATGCATCTTTCTCCTTCTTCCGTGCATTCTAATAGGCAATCTTCTGTTTTCTGTCATTTAACCTCTTCTCTCTAATCTAGTCTTTTTTTCTTTTCTTTTTTTAAATCTCTCAGTTTCCCAGCCAGCTGGCATCCGGACACAGACCTTCCTCCAGCGTGGCACAGTGTCAGGCCCAAGAGGGCAAGAGAACCAAAGACAGAGGGAGGGGGACGAGTGCACAGAAAGCAACAGTGAGAAAAGAGGGAGCTCTTGACAGGTGATGACAGCAGGTGAACAGAAAAAACAAAAAACAGCTGAGTGGCCCAAAAATACAGAGAAAGGAAACTGAAGAGAAACAATGAAACAGGATAACAGATAAGCGGGTAAAGAAGGTGACAGACGGCTCCTTTTCTTTCTTTTCCTCCTCTTCCCGTTTCATCCCGTCTTCCAGTAATCACACTGATTCATCACCATCATTCTTCAGCAGTCGCCGTGCATTTATGAGTCCGAAACAGATTTATTCGCCGTTCAGAATCTGCATGCAACATCGCCGCTGCTGTATGTAAACGCTGTAAGAGGCATCGCTGCCCTGTTTCCTCAGGATCAAGTCCCAGCCTGTTCAAGAAAGTGACCCGCTTCATCAAACAGGCAGACATCAACAAGTCTGAGTCAGGTACTAAGATGACAAAAATATGCAAAATGTGAGATAAGGAGGTTTCACATGTCTTGGACGAGTCAAACGGTCTTTTACTTCAAAGGCTTTTTAAATCTACTGTAAACATAAACAAGACATCAGAGGAGCAGACAATTGTACAATCGTGTGAACAACCAACAGGTTTGATTTAGTGATTTGTCCCCCGTGTTTTGATAAAGCTCAGTGTTGTGATGTGGAGGCCTCGTGTGTAATTCGGTCCGGGTTTGTTGACCCGATGAAGTGACGAGAAGAGCACTGACAGCGGTTTAGATCAAACTCTTGTTCAAACGGAAAGTTTTTTCTCAGCTGACGACAACAACAACAAAAGCATGTTATTTACTTTACTAAGGCTGTATTTTAGAGTTACAAAAGAAATCCTGCCCACAGTGATGTGAAACCAAAAAACAAACCTCATAATAAAGATCAAATATTCTGATTTATGATTATGTCACGTTGTGTTATGGTGATCCACAACCATCATGGAAAAATTTTGTTTTGTCCGTGACGGATTCTGTAGGAGAGTTGTGCCATCTGATCTGCCACAACCAGGTTCCTCTGGCTGAGATCAAGATAAACTGTCGGTTTATCATCAGGAAAACACAGAGCAGCTGTGGCTTCACTGGGATCTCAACGCTTGGACGGAAAAGTTTAGAATTTCTCTGAATTTGGATTTACTAGGGCTCCACTCTGACCCCTGGGCCCTATTTCAGGAAGCCGGTTTAGAAAACTCAGAGTGAAAAACGATACTCAGGGTTGAGTAACCCCGAACTGTCCAACTCGGAATATTCGGTTTCAGAAAGGCTGATAACAATTAATTCAATCAACGCGGAGTTGCTTTAACCCCAAGTTAAACGCGTGCATGAGGATACATAAAGCCCTGATTAGTGGAGCACAGATTAAGCGAGTCACCATGGAGACGGAGGGAAAGAAGGCGCGGTCAATGTATTTTACAGCGCTTGAGGCCGAAATTCTGATGGCAGCATATGCCGATAACATGCAAATTCCGCGGGAAAAAAGTAACACAGCCTCAGCTGCAAAACAAAGGGAGCATGCATGGCAAAACATAGCCGACAGAGTCAATGCGTGAGTGTTAATATAAACATTGATCTAGGGATTTCCACCCATTTAACACGTTATTGTATTTTATTTTATTTTTTATTTCATACATTTTATTTTGTGATGTGATGTGAGCACAGGTGCAACCCAACAGGCCCCAAACGTTCCTGGCAGCAAGTAAAAATGAAATATAAAAATATAGTCCAAACAGGTAAGGTGTAATTGTATTATGAGCCATAGTGCTTGGTCTGTTTGTCCGATGTAAATCAATTGCAGTTAGAGGCTACATTAATTTCCCCTCTGTAAGCACTTATTGAAATTATCTGAGCACATTACAAGTACATATTTGCTTACTCGGTATGCTCAAATGTGACCCGTTATAGCCAACAGAAAAAAAAGCGGAGGCCCGAAAAACAGGTGGGGGTCCTCCACCACCACCACCACTCACAGAGGCTGAGCAGTTGGCTTCTACATTTGTGACAATGTTGGCAGCATCACATATGATCTTCACAGTGCACAGAACACAAATTAGCATCCATTACTATAATGAAATAATTTGTTAGTTTGACATGCTACAGGGAGCTATGTACCTGTACATTAATGCTGTGGAAAGACTTCCTGTTCACATAGTCTCCTTCATTTACTGAAGGAGCAATGATTGGAATGTGAGTGCCATCTATACAGCCAATCACGCCTGGGAACCGTGAAAATAAATGTAAAATTTAAGTAGTAGTTCAAATATCACCACATCATGAATTAAGTTTCGTTCATCCTGATACCTGCAATTTTGTGGCATCCCTCTTTGATAAATCTTGTGGGTCTATGACCGGGGAACACAAACGAGTACAGGAGACGTTTCAGTGCAACTGTAACATTCCTGACTGCCCGACAGACGGTAGCCTTGGAAACGTGCTCAGCGTCACCAATATTATACAGAAAGCTCCCGTTTGCAAAAAACCGAAGTGCGATACAAATAATATGTACAGAACTGAGAGAATGTCCGCGATGTGTCACATGAGCAATATTAGGCCTGAGGATGTTATTCAAATGAATTATAGATTGTGCTGAAAAACGGTAACGTTCACACAGGAAATCATCAGGAAATGATAAAATGTCCAAACGCGCTCTAATCACTCTCTCCCGGCGGAGAGCTCTGCGGAGAATTTGGGCTTCAACATCTACTGGCTCTTCAAGGAAGGAGCACGCCATGTCTGACACTTCCTACAGTCAGGTTTCTGACAAAGAGGCGGAGAAGGTCAGGGTTAGTTGAAGTAAACCTGCTAGGGGGCAGGTTAGCTTCACGGAGTGTGTCGTCATAGTAACTCACTCAGAATTAATCTAAACTCGCTTTGTGAAACCGAAAACCCAGAGTTTTCGTTAACTCAGGGTATACTTACTCAGAGTTTGCACTAAACCGGCTTCCTGAAATAGGGCCCTGGTCTCTGACAAGTAGGTGGCTATATGTACACACACACACACACACACACACACACACACACACACACACACACACACACACACACACACACACACACACACACACACACACACACACACACACTGGACACTTTATTAGATACACCTTAACTCACAACTCACTGCATCCAGTTACAATTTAGGTGACCTGCTGAATATGTTGAGGCATGCTCAATAATCCAGGTTAGGAAATCCCAGAAAGTTGCTTTTGTTCATCTGGAAGCCGAGTTTTCAGTGGAAGAAATGTTTCATCGCTTATACAAGTAACTTCTTCAGCTCACTGCAGGCTTCCCCCAACACGACTGCCTAACAGTGAGATGTGAACTCAGTTTTATAATCGTTGATATTCAAAGGCTATGAGCACTATTCACAGAGAAGTACAATCACACCATCGTAAAATGGTGAAAGATGTACTCTTACGGCCCCTTCCTCGGTTCAACTATGATTGTTCCACATAAGTACTCCACATCCTACCACTCTTGCTCACAATGTCACAAATCTCTGATCATCTCAAACTACTTTCTTGAGTAATCTACCGGATCTCAGTTTAGTGGAGAACCTTTGGGATGTGGTAGAACAGGAGATTCACATCATGGATGTGCAGTAGACCGTTCTACACCAACCGTGCTATCATGTTCACATGGACCGAAATCTGTGAAGAATGGTTCCAGCACCTCATTGAAACTGTGCCATGAACAATTAAGGTAATTCTGAAGGAAACAGGGGGTCCAGCCCAGTACTGGAGTACGGTGAATCAACCATTGTCAACACTGTTGACAAGTTTATTTCAAGGAAAATTATATTTTTAATCTTCTTTTATCTCCTTTAACCTCATCAAATTCAAACTAAAAGCAGTAGTAGGCAGATTTCATCATTATTCACTTGGCTGTTCGCAGGATGAACCACTGCAGAGTAAGATGACAGCCCTTGTAAGAGGTGTATGAAAAATCTACTGAAAACATGTTCAATTCTGGCAAAAGGTCCTCAGTGTATGCTAAAAGTTAATATTTAACTTATCAGTTAAAACCATCTTAACTCAAGGTCCACTTGCTTTTTCCAGAACTGCAAACAGAACCTCATGATCTTCATCAGCGGATGGAGTTTGTTCAGTTGAGTCACCTGATGATAATCAGTCATCTCCATCACAAGTGAGTGAACTTTGTACAGATTTGAACACCACACGTTATCCAGGAAAAGGAACTTGAATTAAGATCATATAAAACTACCTACAGTATCATTTCAGCACAAAAGAAACATTGATGCTCAATCTTTCATAAACAGCACAACAGACTTACCTTAGGCTCCATGGAAATGAAACTATGGCGACCACGGCTGGACAAAGTCGACCTCTTAATAGTCCGACTATGGAAGAAGTGATAGTGGTCTCTGAGATCCCCAATCTGCAAAACACACAAACAGACTATTCATCACCACTATGCCTTTCTCTGCTATAGTCTCCTAAAAAGTGAGCTTCATTTTTAATGCTGCTCACAGTTTTCTAAAGTCAAGGCGCAGGTCTCGCCATCTTCTCACTGCTGATTTATTCCCTGCTGAGAGCAAGACTATATTGTCAGAGAACCAGCGCACAATGGTTGGTTTGAACGTTAGCAGCGGCGGAAGTAACAGAAGTTGGGAGTTATGTCTACAAGAGGAAAACCAAGTTGGATAGTATCTGCAAGTCATCTGTGAACTTCTTGTCGTAGCTGTTCTTATAGCTACTGACATGAGAGGTTCAAGCTTTGGACCCAGCGCTTTGCGGCACCGCTAACAGTTAGTTTCGTTTTTGTTTGTTTTCTAAAACAAGTGGAACTTGTGGAAAGGATGTATCAGTGAGCCACCGTCATTATTTCAGGGCTCTTAATCATTGTTGTTTAAAATAGATCTTTATAACTCTTTATGGCTGCACGATTGTTGCAGTGCTGCAGAAAGAATATGGGCCTGTCATCATTAAAAAGGCTGAGAACCACCATAGCTTTAAGTATTTCAAAACATTTTTCTAAAAAAGGTCATGTTTTTGAATTATAATGACATTTTTCTCTCTTAATATTTGTTTTTTCCCAGATATTATACAGAAACCACATTTAGGCTCTTAAATCAATCAGATAAAGGACAAAAGGCTGTGAACTTTAAAAAGAAAAAGAAAAAAAGGAGGGACAGCGAGGGGCAGACAAGTAAAGTGAAAACAGACAAACACAGAGAGGCCAGACAAATGTACAGATAGACACACACACAAAGATTTTGAGTGACAGAGGATCCACAGACAGACAATGTTAGACGGAAAGCTGCTGGTCGGTGATTAGTTTTAATAATTGATAAAGACCAAACAGTCCCTCAGATGATCAAACTGTCATGGCTACCAAGGGTCCTGTGCTATGTCACTGATCCTTCCACTGCCACAGAGCCCATCAGATCAGCTTTCGGCTCATGTACCGACACACACTCCAAAGTAGAGATGGATAAAATGAGAGGCAAGAAAGTGCCAATAAATCCATGACTTTCAGTATAACATCTAACCTTCAGCGTGCGTTTTCAATCTTAACTTGAAAAACAGCTAAGCCTACAAATATGGCTTCCCTTGTTGCTCTAGATATGACTGTGTGATCATATGGGCAGGCACATTACGGTAGACTGAAATTTTATCGGAATAATTCAAGAGTGAATCACAACTTCTACTTAACTGTTGGGAATTACACATCTCAGTCCTGCAGAAAAAACACTTCATCAGTGATTCATGATGTCTTACTTCTCCAGACCTTTTTCACTAGAAGCAATAAATCTCCATATCATCTATATTTCATGACCAATAGTACCAAGAAATGCCAAAAGGTGATGCGCGTTTTCCCTTTGGACCTTAATGTTTCATACCTGTAAGACTAATGTCTCATAACAGGACAAAGACTTCAGGACAAAACACACAGGCTGAGACACTGCGGTACTTTGACACCTTCTTGCTTCACGGTGCAAACACTGCAGCTTTATCACGGCCTCTCAAACAAATCGAGGACAATGCTCAATAATCAAATGAATCATTTTTTCAATGGAAAACTGATCGTTTCATGTGTTTGGATTATTAGCGTTGTCAAAAACAAAGGTGTTACTCTAGACATTGCACTTGTTTAGTTACCTCTAGAGTAACAATGCTGATTGGCCTGATGCCTTTAACAAATACTACAAACTGCACAAAATATGTAACATGTCGTTGATGTCATGATGCACACACTTCCTGCACATGTGTGTCTCTAGATTACGACCAGTGGCTTTCACGGGCTCTCTCATCTCCTCAAAAAAAAACAAAAACACCAATTTTAACAGAGATCCACGTCTGAGGCCTTGTCAGCTGATTTAGCCAGTGTCTTAGTCTGGGAAGGGGGCTCCATAGTTAAGAGGATTACCCAGAATTCCCCAACGAGGTGCTCCCTCTCTCCATGCCAACTCTTTTCATCCATCCGTCCATCTATCGTCCTTTCTTTCACTCCCTCCTTCTCCCATCTCCCAGTGTGTGGTTATCTTTGTCTGTGCTCTTCTTTCCAACCCTGTGAAGAAGACCATATTGTCCGCCACACTGTTTTCTATCCATTCATCTTTTTTTCCCCCCCCCTCACAAATTTAAACTCCATCTCATTTAGTGGCTATTCCCAGAATTATTTCATTACTAGCCCCAGCAAGTTTTTTTTTGATTTACAAACGCTTGGCAGCTTAAGTTCTTCGTGCACATACATGAGTGCTGCACTGATATCAGGAGGACTGGGTGGGTGTCAGAGTTCACATTAGGCAACCAAAAGTGTGTTGCTATCGCTCCCATGGGAGCGGCTTTCGGCTGACCCCCAAACCAGGAAGTGAAGTAAAAACTTGTCTATGAGGTGTCAAAGTCCAGTGAGCCTTCCTGTATTGAGATGGAAATTAGGGCGAATGGTGGGGGTTGGAAGCAACACTCCACCACTCCACTCCACAGGAAAATTCCTATGGGGGTGGTATAGAAAGAGGGGGGTCCACACATTAGTTCCCGTCAAAGAGAGGGGATAAACGAGGCCATTAAGGCCTACTCTCTAGGGTGTATAGTGGGTGGGCAGGCTGGATAAGGTGGAGGGGTGGAGGTTCAATAGCTGTTGACTGGACTACCCCACAACAACCTGTCAGAATGCCCCCTCTGTTCCATGCTGTCTTCATGTCGACCGCTGACAAGTGCAGGCTTGAACTGCCCACGTAGTTCAGTCGTATGTGTGAGGTCCACATTTGTGTGTCTTCTCTCTTTTGTTAAAACAAAACAAGTACTATGCTAAAAATAATAATAATTTTAAAACATTTCCTAAAACCACATTTGGACCAAGTTAACAGATAAATTCCTCATCTGGTGTTTACCAATAAAATGACAAAACATAAAAAGAAAGGAGGCACATCTGAAGCCAGTGTCTGTGCGTGTATGTTCTTCACCAGATGGATCCAGGAGTTAGTTTACACCATGTTAAGCAATGGCACCTGCTTTTGGCCTGATGCGGCTGATCTAATCGATACTGGAGGGCCTTGAACAGTGGAATTATGTACAGTATGGGGAATTAAAGAGAAAAAGACAAAACAAAAACAGCTTGAGCAGCCCCGTTTACTACTATATAAAATGGTGTTTGGCTCACACACCAAGGACTTTTGAGTGAAATCTTACACAGAGAGAGAGAGAGAGAGAGAGAGCGAGAGAGAGAGAGAGAGAGAGAGAGAGAGCGAGAGAGAGAGAGAGAGAGAAGTCACTTCCAAGCTCATAAACCAAACAGCACCGCTAGCCGTCACTGGGGTGGCAAAACGACCAAGCACATGAGACTTCAGTGGAAACACCGTGAAGAGGCACCTGTTGTGCCATCCTGCAGCTGGTCTACTTTCTTTGTTCCTTAAAGCTTCTCCTTCCCTGGTCTGTTTCAGAGTTAAAAGAACCCGAGTTGGCTCAGGTTTGGACTTCAGACTTTGAGGTTTAATCGCGCAACTTTGCCGCCTTGGAAGAGGCATATTAAGCCCAATTTTAAGAGTTGACGAAAACACAGAGAGACACAAATTAGAGGCAACTTTGACCGGATCAATAAGCAGTAAGACACATACCTGTCCCATGTTTCTATAGCCGTATTTTTCCGCTATCCGGTCAGCCACCTCGGGTCCCCCGGCTATCCTGACTGCCCAATGGTTGGTGTAAATCCGAGCTTTGCACGGCGGGGACGCAAAGCCGAGGTAGAGCGCCAGGACGCATAGCAAGCCTCTTCTCCAAGCGGCGTTGTGGACCATCTTTTAAACAGACTCTTCTCCTCCTCCTCCTCCTCAGCCGACCAGGCAAACAACCAAACTTCTCTTCTCGCCGAGAGAGGCTCTCATAGAAACACAAATATCCCGGCAAAAGAACTGAGAGAGAGAGAAAGAGAGAGAGAGGAATGGGGAAGGAAAGGAGGTCCGAGGGGGAAAAATACACCTTATCTTCAAACCTCTCTTTTTCACATGGGAGAGTTGGAAGTTTCGTGCGTCTTCTCTCTATTCCCCCCCTCTCTCTCTTTCTCTCTCTCTCTTTTTCCACGGTGGATAGAGAGGAAGTGTGAGTGTGTGAGCGCTGTGCGTCTTCTGCGCGCAAAGTTCGCGTACGTGTGTGCGCGCAGAGCTCCTCAAAGCTGATTTCTGCTTCTCCACGAACAACTCGGATGTTGCTCGTTCAGCTCATCGGGCTTTCATGTGGCGAAATGGCTACAGCGCCTCCCCACAAATAACTAGCTGACACTCTGGAGAGTAGAAACAACTCAAGCCGCGGGGTTTCCCTGCCGAGCTCCGCTGGGTCTTAAAGACACTCGGCTTGGATCCGCCGCCGCTGCCCGCCTGTCTGCCAGACGCAGATCAGCCGCAGGGAGGGGTCAAACCGGGGGCTCCAAGGGATTCCTCCAAGAGCCCCCTCACCCTTACTCAATACCCTCTCAAAATTAAGAATTAATTATCTCAAAGTCGAGTGGAAATTATAGAAATCGAACTTTATTTTTAATTACTTTTGATTTTTTCATCAATTGACTGACAAAAGACACTGTGACTGCAAAGAGTGAACATATCCGCTGATGTGTACCTTAGGGTAATTTTCCATTTTCCTAACTGGTGGAGCAAGTACCCCGGGGGGTATTACTGCAGTAGCCTGGGGGTTAAGTAGACAAATTAGTAGTTAAAAAACCCAAAAGAACCTTATTTAACTAAGGTAGCCTGAGCAGCTTTGAGCAGAAAAGGTAACAGTTATCTAAAACGAATGTTTTAGGGGCAGAAAGGCAAAAAAAATATGGATCCATTATTTAAAATATTATTAATTGTTAAATATTTTATCAAAAAACAAGTATCTTACAAAATGTTTTTGATGTATATACTGTTAATATAATATATAAATATAGACCTATATGGATATATTTTCTAAGTAATTAGGAAGTGTGCTGCTTAAAGTAGGCATAGGTTTAAATGCATTTGCTAAAGAACAGTTTAAATAGGCAGCCAACATAACTGGATCCAATATTTTAAAATATCAATATTGGCGATATGGGAAATGGCTAAAATTGCTCACTTAGAGTATGAATAATATACACTTTTTGCAAGTATAGGAATTTAAAGCTAATAGTTTGAATATATATGTGTACAGTACTTTGCAAATGTCTTGAGCCGCACCTCATTTCTTGATATCTATATATTTATTTATATTTTATAAGAGTAGTGGATGAATGGCTATGACTGACTGTTTGAAAGCAGGTCAGATCCTCTTTTAAATCTGTTCAAATAAATACATTTGAACTTGAAACATTTGAGTTTCTGGAGTCCCTGTGACAGTTCTGGGGATGATAATGACACAGAACTGACCCCAAAAGTGATTAGTATTATCAGCAGATTACCTGTTATGTCTGTTTTCTTGATTTTGGGATTCATGTGATTGTTAATCCCCCCAAAAAACACAGACAAACTTTTAAAGGTAGAAAGAAACATGTTGAGATTCTTCACTGGACCTGATATGACAATCTACACTTTTGATATTCTGCAAATTAATTTATAAAAAACACACAGGAGTGTGCACTTTACATCTGGTGACTCCGATGGGAGTGCTGTTTTCTAACGATCGACCGTTTCGCAAGCTTTCCCTGACTGACAGATTTTTATATGTTTGCCCGCGTATCACATTTCAAAAGCTGTGGTGTTTTTCCCTTACTTTTCACCCTGAAAAGTTCACCAGCTAACAAGATGGCTCATTATACTTTGGATGCAGCTCGTTTTTCCCGCACCTTGAAATCTGCTTTTGAATGCATGCTTTGTCAGTCTCTCTGGCCAATATTGACACAGACATGCCAACGTAAAGTTGAGCAAACTATGACCTTCACCTCAGCCATCATCCAATGAGAAACAACCACAGATGTGTAAATATTATTTATCCAGAAAGAAAATATTCTTCTTATTTACAGAAGACACCTAATCCCTCTTTTAGTTTTGTCAGTTTGATGATTCTTTACGTCACGATTAATGATTTGCCGTGCGGATTGTTTCGAAAATATCTTAGGTTAGTTCGCTTGAGTTGGGTTTGCCTTCGGCTACATCTTTGGATGCTCGACTGCCGCTTTGCTGTATGTCGGGATTATGTGCCTTCCTCCAATACTGGTTTAATGCACATTTTCTTCTATATCAGTGAAGCTCTAGATGTCATGGCCCCCCAGATCACAGCCCAGGTCAAAGCCGAGTGAACGCTGTCATTGTGGAATGTGTTCAGAATTGAGCCTTTCATTCAAGGTCCTTGTTGATTGATGGGTTTTTGTTTTGCAGCAGTTTCCTGGCGACGTCTCTGTTCGCACTGAAAACTCTGTTCTGAGTGGTACACAAGTAAAAATCAGCATAATTGCACTAATTACAGCCAATTTTATTGCTGAATGGACCCCGCTGCCACGTCTTACAACAAGCGGGAGGACAAGACCATCTCACGGCACGCTCAGATAGAGACGAAAGCGAGTTAAAAAGGCAGATCCACTGATCGCACTCCATTCAGCAGGGTGAGAAAAGAAGAGGAGACAAGATACAGCAGAAATTGATCTGGGCATCAAAATTGAGCACCCAGGTCACGAGACAGCCTTGAGCAATGGGGCCCCCTGGTTTCCATTCAGGTCTTAGCTGTCGCGATATCCTGCGTGACAGCTTCACAGCTCCCAGAGTCTTCTCCAGGGAGAGAACCGAGTGAATCCCAACAAAACGTCTTTGTCGACATCTGAGAGCGGAGTGGTCACACGAGTGTCAACAAACACTCCGAGGGGCATTCCTATGTGCATTCCTGTGCCTCTTCAGTGGAATAACAGGGTGAATCGCGTGTTTGAAGCCAAACACAACTTCGGGGGGGGGGGGACTCCACGATACAGTACAATAGAAGGCCTCAACAGGAAACCGCAGCCAACAAGCTTCATTCAACAAGGACACAGCTAATTTGTTCATTCAGCATTGAGCCCATCACTTCTACAGGGAAACATCCCACATGATTTTTCTTCCATCAGCACAGGCATGTTATCAGATGTGAGCTAGTCATGTAAATGCATCCAAATTGCTTTCTAATGTCTCCACATTCTGTCATTGGTTTGCTTTCCTTTTCTCTCCAAATGTTCTGTTTTTTGCTCTTTACTTTCCTTCACGTACCTTTATGTCCCTTTGGTTATTTCCCATGGCTCCTTGGCCTATTACGTATTGGTATCTCTCTGGGCGGACATCCAGGGAGCTGAGGCAACTTCATTTTGACCTTTGACCTTGTCGTTTTAGGCTCCTGCACTTAGGCCACAATAGCACCTGCCATTCACCAACTTTCTCTCCTCGCTGTCCTGAATTTTATCCTCCCATATAACCATCATTCTCCTCATCTCTTCACCCTTTCCTTTGTCCAACACATTCCAGGGTTATATAGGCTCCTCTGGGTGTTCACACACACTCTCTACATTCACTTGAGACAATGAATGTAGGGTGGAGACAGAGAGCAGTATAGCTAAAACTTTGAAGGTCCATCTGTGAATGTTGTCACCACCAGTTTTCTGTGTACTTATCAGGCAAAAATGACTCAAATAATCTGCAAAAACAAAAAAGTGTTTGTTTTTTTTAGGTTTGATCACCTCACATTTAGACACACTCGTGTAGCATCACACGTATGAACTGTGTACATTGATCTGCCTCAGTATTAAAACCAGCTTCATGAAGGCCCCACTCTCTGTGCTGCTCAAACAGGCCTGAACCAGCTGTATATGGATGTAGGACCTCTGGAAGCAGAAAGCTGGCAGAAGAGCTTCCGTGAATTAGGCTTGTTCCAGTATATCCCACAGACTGGGATCAGGGACATTTAGGGGCCCTTTCATCACCTTGATACTTTGTCACGTTACACAAGCCGAGCTGTTTTTTCAGTGTCACAGGGCACTTTGAACTTTTGAGGAACAGCATGCCGCTGCCATGTGAAGCATGTCAGGTTGATATACTGATAAAGACCGAGTGTCTGCCAGTAAAATAATGCATTGTAACAAAACGGTCAATGTGACCCTTGTCAGTGGTTTTCACCAGCACACTCAGTCTGAATATTTTGATTTTCATAAGAGGATTTATTTGATATGTTCCTGTAACAGTGATCCACTCAGTCTGTGCTCCTGGGTCAAAAGTCTGTGTATGGCATGGAATTAATACCCACATAGGGCAGTTATATACTGCCACCAGGTGGTGACTGATAAGTTACACACAATTGCAGTTGAACTCATCACCATTTCTAACCATGCCTTCGCCTCTACACAAACAGAATTAAACTTCCTCACTTTGATTTTTTTCATATGCTATACATTTCAAACATCACTCAAAAAAAGGTTCAGAACTGTTGCTGGGACTAACCTTGATTTATCAGTTTGAAAATGAAATGTCTCATAAAACTATGAGGGCCTCAAGTGACATCATAGCTCACCTTTAAAAATATCTCGTTCTCTTTACGTGATGGTACTGTGCTGAACGTGCACAAGACTAACAAAGTCACCGTGCATCAATGCACCGTGCCGCACAAATTCAGCCACTTGAAATAAAAGGCCCTGTCATAGAACAAGGATGAGATTAATACACTTTTAAACGTGCATCAGTTTAGCTTTCATTAACATCACAAACTTGGTATTTTATGGGAAAAGGAAAAAAAAAAAAGAGTGCTATGATGGATTCACTGTGATCAGAGCCACCTGTGTCTTGCTCAAGCTGGGCCACCATATGGCCAACTGGCTTAAAAGACTATTGCAGAGAACAGTTACACTGACTAGATTACAGAAAATGCTAAACCTGCGTGTCAGGGACCTACTCTGCTCTGAATCTCATGCGAGTTTAGAAATGGAAAGAAAATATTTTTTCTCGGACTTGAACTGAGGATGCTTTTATCATTTAACATTGTAGCATACAAGTATAAATTAGATCAAAATAGGACAGCAGTAGTTCTGGTACTTAGAACTGAACCACAGCAGATGGCTCTGGAGGTTCAATTTGGCCCGGATTTTACACCTCATGCCTTCTTAATGGAATCTAATTTATCTGAGCTTGGGACAGCCTGAGAGCTTCTGTCTTAGTCTTGAATCAGAGTCTAATTACTACACCATGGAGCCATCTTCATTAACAGTCATTCACTGTCAGTGGGTGGCACAAAGAACAAGAGCAGATTATTTAACAATAGTGATCAAATATGCCCAGCTGGGGAAAATATGCATTCTCCACATAGAAAGCCTCCAGTCTGCAGGGGGATTGACACCCTGGAGCTTC